CACACACACACACACACAAAGAAGACTCATACTCCCACATATGCATATATATATATATATAAAGAAACGTAAATAAAATACATATAAATTAAATAGGTAAGCGAACAAAAGCCTACAAAATTACATTTTAAAACAATTTACCAAAAAAATAAAGCGAGAGCCCAAAATGAACTGCAAATTGCTGGCAATGAAATTGGGTCTGGGCTCAGCTAACGGAAAGAAAGAAAAAGAAATGTGAAATATTTGTGCGACAGCTTTGTAGAGTAAGCAAAATGAATTTAATCCCAAATTTAGGCTGCACTTATCTAAACAGCTGAGCTGGATTTAGGCCCAACATAAATATAGCTAAGCAAAGCGAAACAAAGCGAGAAGCCAAAGTGCTTAGGAAGGACAAGTAGAAGAAGAAGAAGAGGACTTTTCTTAATTTAATGCTTAGCATGGAAATATTTAAGGGACAATTAAATGGGCAGAGAATCATTGAGTGAATAATGAACAGGAAACGAGCACAGAACTCACAAGACATAAATGTTTTTCTGTGTAGGAGGAGAAACATTCTTGAGAAGTAGAAGTTTACAAGTTTTATTCCAAGTACCTGTCTCATATGTCTACACAAAATAAAGCTTATATGGCAAAGCAGCTTCGTATGTTATAAATTGTTAAATAAAATATATATAAAATGACATGATTTTGCTTTAGAACTTTTATTGGGAGTATAATATCTCTGCTGTATATATGTATGTACATCAATATTTAGCACTTCGACTTAAGCAGTATTTAATAGTTTTTAGTTACTCAATTTAGATTGGCTGGTCTTTCAATGCACTGTTAGTAATTCATCATCAAAATGTCTTCCACGTCAACAAACGCTTTTCAGCATTTCACCAAAACATAAATATGTGTATTGTAGATTTATGGATGCCAAAGGCACTTTGTGTAATCAAGTCTTAAAGTGTGTTAAATGTTTTAATGACTAAATAAATTTCTAAATCGTTTTAATTAAAGATTTAAACTCAACTAAGAAGATATACGTATTCAAATTTATTCATTCCACGCTGGCAAACTAATCTAGCAGAAATTTCGCAGCTGTCAACTGAATATTTTCGAATGGAACGCTTTGGGGAAACAGGCAATCAGACCATGGGAAACGTAGGCCAACAAAAGAGACATATGAGCAGAAACCCCATTAAGGCCGCGAATTGCTCTGCTCTGTCTGGAAAGACAAAAGGAAGCCTGCCTACAAAGTTGATGTCAGCTCACAGAACAATGTCAAAAACTTAAGCCAACGAATGCCGAAGTTCCACAATTGGAAAACTGTCACCGGGCCATGTGTGAAGGCCGCAATACCTGTGGAAATCCCAATTGCAGCGGCTGACAGTGAAGTGAAGCAGGGCAGGTAATTGACATTTGATTAGCGCGCTGTCAGCTAATAACTTATCTTGCCCCTACAGTTAATTAGTATTTATTTCGTAGAACACCAAATATTTTAGCTTCACTTCAAAGCTAACTTGTTGTCGAAAACATTCCACTTCGTATCGATTGCTTAAAGCGCTGCCGCTTGCCGGTTTGTTTGTCTTCACTCTGCTACACAGTGGGCTGGGCACTCATAGCTGCAAACACGCCAGCAGCAAAGGATTTCTCTCTGTGGCTTACATTGGGTCACCAGCAAGCAGCCAGCCAGAAAAAGGGAGAAATAACACGTAAAAAGAAAACAAAACAAGTAAGAGAGCTCTAGTCGAGACTGCTCGACTACGAGATCCGCTGAACTCTTCGAGCAACTGTTATTTCAATAATTACATACACACAGACATACGTACGCCACATAAACACGCATTGGCTGCAGTGTGGGCTTACTATGGGAAGTTAATTGTTTAATACCTTTTCTTCTGGATGGACTATCTTCATGAAACTTTCAAATTATAAATATAACATAAAAACAAGTCACTTGTATTTGAAATACGCCTTTTATAAAGGTGTGGGTGAGGGGTGAATTAGGGATGTGGGGTAAATTTTGACAAAAAGCGAAATTGTATAAAATGCATATAAGTATACATTTAAAGACATTGAGACTCTAGCTTTAAAGATGTAGGAGATATAAATTTATTACTGGTTTTCGATAATGTTTTAATCGATAACAATATAACGGGGCAAGCTATCGATATTTAAAGCAAAGCTCAATATGCGCGTGCTATACACGGGTGTGTTCTAGGAAAAAAAATTTAAAGTCTCTAACTCTTATATTGTATATTCTGAGATCGACGCTTTCAAACATACGGACAGAGCTAAATCGACTCAGCTCGTCGCCCTGATCAAGAATATATATACTTC